TTGTGCTCTTTTCAGTTGTTCGTTTCCTTTTGGGCCCCCAGCCTGACCCAAAGCAGCTGAGTTTTTTCAGGAATTCGGTGTCCGAGTGTCCTTTCGGACACCAAGTACATTACATCCATAGTTATCAATCGCTTGTCTGATTCCGCCAGCCCGTACTATGCCATCGCAGTCGTTTGCCTGCGCGTTCGTGGCCTCTGAGAGCCTTTGGGGGGCCTCGGGGCCTCCTTTTGGGCATCTTTTGAGGGCCTCCAGGGGGCCTCCTGGGCACTCTTGGGGACCTTTTTCGGCCTCCTGGGGGCCTCTTGGGGCGGAACGGCTCGAATTGGTGGTTCGTGCTCCCCCTCTTGGGACCCTCTGGGGGCCGTCTTGGGGCCCTCTTGGGCGATTTTGGGCGCCTCCAGTCTTGGGGGCCTTCGGGGGGGCCATCGTGGAGCGCTGGATGCCCGAAAACGCGAATAATCGGAGGAACACGAGGCAAATCAATTATTTTTGCTTCAGGAGGAGGGGGATGTGGCATGTCACGCCCTACTGCATTAATGCACAGGCCCGAGAGCTTCCTGATGTGAGCCCACGCTGTACGCACCACGCGTCTGGCAACATGGAAGGACCCTCCATTGATCAGCCGCGCTTGTAGTAGAGAGTGACAGCACCAGTTTCCAAACCCGGCGATTTTCAGACCACGGCGTGTTGGGCGTCGCGTAGTGGGGGGGGGCGATACAGGGGGGGTAGCCAGGGCTACAGAGAAGGGGACCCTAGGGTCCTTAAGGGGCTCTTGAGGGTGCAAGAGGGACGCTTTCGGGAGCCCGAAAGGTAAACCTTTTTCCACTCCCCACTCATGCCAGGAGGGGAAAAACACACAGACACACTTCATCGTCGATTTACCAGGAAACTATGGGAACATATGGGCAGTGGGGGGGAAGGCAGGAACCCAGAAAATATAGGACAGTATCGGGAATCCTTTTATTTGTGTGTATTTGTGTGTGTGTGTGTCCCAGGGCCCCTTTCACTGTGGCCCCCCACATTCAGCGACGCCCAAACGTGCCAGCTGCTCTGCCCTCATCTTGCTGCTCCTCCCGCTCCTCGTCATGCTACCACAGTTTCGTGCGCGTGATGCGAAGCGCCCACCATCGCAGGAGGACCGTGGCTGCGAGCGCGCTGCGATTAAAAAACGATTGTGCCGAGCGAGGGAACGTTGACACGGCCAACGTCCACGGAAGGTTTGGTTCGCGGAAGCGCCCTTCCCGCGAGGAAGGGGACCCGTGGCGAGGCTTGGGTTGTGATCTGCATCATTTGTCTTGGGAGAGCAGCGATTGTTGGGAGACCCAAGCTCGCTTTGCTGACCACTCGTTGTTTAGTCGATGGGGCGAAGAGGAACAGGGCCGACGTATCACTGATTGGTCCCAGGGAACTTGTAGCTGGCCAGGGCGGCCGTTGACGCCAGAGCTGACCCCTCGATTCCCTTGAACACCCATTCCCTTGAACAAGAGCTGACCCCTCCTTTGCTTCTTCTTGCTGCTGCTGCTCGCGTTCCCGTGAGGTCTTCTATCTCATACACACGAGCTTTCCCAGCCACAATCCATCTTGAAGCCGCGTAGCAGACTCCCCCTTGCGTGGTCCACGTCCTCAGCTTGGATATAACGGCGCGACTTGCGAGGACCTCACCCTCACTGGATTAAGGCTGTCTGGCTGGCTGACATGTGCCATTGACTTGGTTGTGGGGGTTTAGGCGGAGCCCCCGTGCGAGACTTGTGATCGTCACTGGATACATGGGCACTGCGTTCTGTCCAGCCCCCAAGCCCTGTTTGCTCTGCCCTGAGGCGTGGCTTTTGACACCTCAGACTCAGTCAGGCCCTTGAGGTATCGCAGCGAACCAGCAATTCATGACCACCACCTGCTTCCTCCATGCGGCGTGGCTCTATGGTGGGCCAGGTGTTATGGAACACCCATATCAATCATCACAAGTCCCAGATCGTCCCCCGAGCTCTTTCATATTGCGACCCTGGCTGGCGCGGCTTGCGGTTATCGTGCTCCAGTGCATGTTGAGAGTTTGTGCTGGTTTGCAGCAAGTGGCATTGACATTGATATCCCTGCATCGCTCCCTCCCCATCCAGCCCCTTTCCTTCACACCTCCCCCCATAGTCACCTCTTCCCTTTTCCCTGTCTCCCTTTCCCTATTTGTTGATTTCGATAGTCCGTCTTGTCCAGAGCCGAGCCTGCTGTTTCCTCGCGAAGCGACCGTCAGTAGGAACACTGGCTTAAGAGAGAAACGAGCACCTCTCTCCGGTCCTCGGTCCAGCATTCAGATGGATTCTCGGATCGCGCCGGTCGCGTGGAGTGGGAATCTTTCGCGCACTCATCTATTTCCTCTCAGATAGGTCAGCCGACCACTTTCGGCCTTACGTCAGGAATCTGTGCCAACATCCTTCCCCCTCCCCCTCCCATCTCTCCCCCCTTTTTCGTCTGCAGGTCCACTACAGAACCAACGATAGTGGATACTTCCGTCAGTTGGTGATTCGTTTTGCACTCCAGTCGGGATCCGGCCGCCTGGGCTCGAAGGTCGAGCATCCCCCTCTCCTCTCCCTTCCCCTCGCCGCTGGGCGCGACGGCAGGCTGGTTCGTGGCCTTGTCGTGGTCGGGGTACATGCTGCTGCACAGGCTCGTGTTCGTGGAGCCAGACCTGCAGGAGCCGGGCGGGCCGGGGGCCTCCTCGTGGTGCTCCCGACCTTCGTCGTCCATCCAGCTTTCGGAGCGGCTCGCGGTGCACAGCGGTGTCCGCCGCCACCGAAGGTGGTGTCGTCCTCCCTTCCTCCCTCAGCCAGGTCAGCGCAAACGTGGCTCAGCCAGAGCGCGGGATCCTACATGATCGTGCAAAGCTGGATTTCGTCAGAGCCGGGTTTGGGAGCCGCTCGCGGCCCTGGAGGTGGCCTTGCATGTTGGTTGAGCCGGATTTGGGGAAGCCCACCCCAACTTGCGTCGCAGTTTTCCAAACGGCCCGTCAAGCCTCCCCCTTCTCCTGTTCCTTTGGCTCCGGCTGCTCCTTCGCTGATCTTCGTCCTGGTCTTGCTGCTTCCTCCTTCTTCTCCTCCTCCTCGTCCTCCTCCTCTGGCTCTTGGTCATCTTGCTCCTGATCATCATCTGGTTCGTTCTCTTCCTCCTCCTGCTCCTCCTGGTCCTCTTCTTTCTCTCTTTTTGTTCTCTCTCTCTCTATTCCCTTCTCCTGCCGACCTCTTCCCACTCATCCGATGCCTCATCTTCCCTTCTCCTTTCACCCTCCGTAGCATGTCGTCTGCACGCCCGCGGCGCGCACGCACGTGTTTGCAAGAGGCAGTAGGGGGGGAGGGCTTGGGAGCGGGCAGCCTCGTGTGCGATGGCGTCAGCGTCTCACTGACGCCGAGAGTTTTGCGCTGCGCAGAGGAAGATGACTACGACGAGGAAGGGGACGAGGATGAGGAGGAGAGGGAGAAGGAGGAGGAGGAGGAGGAGGACCAGTGTAAATCCAAGTGTCATCAAAGATGTTGGAATCAACCCTCCCTCCAAGCTCAGTCTTCATAGGCCCCTACAGGGGTTCATTTCGACTGAGGGAACTGCCTCGTTGGAAGGCAACCTTGTGAAGACCCTGAAGCGTGCCAAACCATTGTTCTCGGGATTCCAACGCAACGGATCAACTTGACTGTTGCGCCTTGACGATTCTGAATCGTGTCAGAACGCCATTCCTGTGATTTCAACATGGCGAACCAATGTAAGTGTTGCACCCTCATCGACCTGAATTCTTCCGCAACGCCGTTTCCGGTACATTGATCATGGGAATCCGTGAAACTTCTGTAACCTTTTAAACCTAATATGCCCTTCGCTAATGCGAGAGCCACATTTCGGAAGGGAACCGCCCTGCATCCGTGAAGCTCTTGCAGCGTTTGACGACTAATGTGCGCGGCGCTAGGGCGACAGCCACATCTTGAACACCAACCGCCGTCAATCCGCGAAGCTCTTGCCATTTAAAAAACGAATGTGAGCGGCGCTAGGGCGAGAGGAATTGATTTTGAAAACCACCCGCCCTCAATCCGAGAAGCTCATGCAAATGTTGAAAACGAATGTGCGCGGCGCTAGGGCGAGAGCCACATCAAACAAAAAGCACCCGCCCTCCATCTGTGAAACTGTTGCCAAGTTTTAAGCTTCAGGGTCATACATGGTGAGGAAATCTCAGGCGAAAAGCCCGGGCCGCCCTAAAAGGCTAGCTGGAGGAGGAGGAGGAGGAGGAAGAGGAGGAGGAGGAGGAGGAGGAGGAGGAGGAGGAGGACGAGGAGGAATGGATCAACCGAGCAGGAGGAGATGGGCGTGGGGCGGAGAATGGAGAAATGGAGGGCGGGAACTGCGGAGGGTGGGGGGTCGGCGTAAGTGGAGGGATACTCCAACCATGCCGTCAGCCCCGGTGGTCTTGGGAGGGCGGATGCTTGCGTGCAGCATCCATGTCCGATTGGGCGACGTCGCCGCAGGAGCGCTCGTGTTTTGGCAGACGCGCTCGTCTTCACATCTCGTCCGTGCGTGAGAAGGTGCGGGCGGCGCCTCCGCCAGGGGCCACGACGCACCACCTCGAGGACGCGGGTGGGGGCTCGGGGGGTGGGCGTCGTGCGCGGCACGGCCCGCGCCCTCGTGATGGAACGACGCCGCGGCAGGGGCGCAGCTGGCACGAGGCAGGGGGCCCCTCCTGGTGCTCCTGGCGCCCGGGCCCCTCACCCTGAGCGGTTCCTCGCTCCGGGCATCCCCACGGGGCCTCGGGCCCTCGGCGACGGGGCTCGCGCGCCTGCATCCCCACGGAGCCTCGGGCCCTCGGCGACGGGGCTCGCGCGCCTGGCCGGGTCTCGACCGTGCGCGCTGCCTGCCGCCTGGGGCGCGCGCTGCCCGCTCTGCTGGTGCGGCTCCCCGCCCCAGCGGCGGCCCTCGCGGGGGGGGGCGCGGCAGGCCGGCGTCGTGGACCCCGAGAGCAAGATCCAGCTCGACAAAACCATGCGGCTGCCACCCGCCCTCCCTCCCTCCCTCGGCCTCCTTTCCCTGCCTCCCTCCCTCCCTCCTTCCCTCCCGCCTCCCTCGTTGTTCCCTCTCTCCCTCCTCCCTCCCTCCCTCCCTTGCCCCTTCCTCTTCTCTCGGTCCTCCCTGCTCCCTCCCTCCTCCAGTCTTGGCTCGAGTACCCTTCGTGGCAGCTGCTTGCACCCCCGCTTCCGCAGTTCTGGTGATAGTGGAGCCTCCCCCCGAATGGGAGCGACCGAAACTGGTTTCCCCTACTCGACTTCCTTCGAAACCATGGCTGGGCAACGCCACGCCCACGCCAGCATCGATGCCGCTCAGGGCCGCGCTGCCCAACCCCATTCCGCCATGGCGAAACGCGACGCGTGCAAACAAAACTATATTGCGAAGGCCTTACGGCTGGTGCCGCCGACCCTGAATGGCGACGACGACGACGACGACGACGTCGACGAGCGCTCTTGGGGGCCTCTTGGGGGTAGTTTGTGGGCCTCTTGGGAAGCTCTTAGGGGCCGCTTGGAAGCCTCGTGGGGGCCTCTTGGGGCTTCCTGGGGGTCTCTTGGAGGGGGCCTGGGACGTCTTGGAGGCTTCTTGGACGGTCTTGGGGCTATCTTGGGCGTTTTCGGCCCATCTTTGGGCGACTCGGGGCCCTCTTGGGCCGTCTCGGGGGCCATCTTGGGCATTCGGACCTCAGGAGTGTTTTCGATGTTTCTAGGCCGCCCGAGGAAGAACTAATTTGCCCCCCCACCCCCACCAGGACCTCCCCGGGACCCCCCCCGGGACCCCCCCCCCACCCCCCTCTCGGGACCCCCACCCTTGGGGAAGGGATCAAAGGGAAGGGGCTTCCCTTCGACTCGATGACGACACTGCTAGATTTGTTTCTCGCTCACGAGCTTGAGAAGGAAGCTGCAGGGAAAGGGGACGACGGAGGCGACGACCGACGGAGACGACGACTCGAACAGCCAAGCCCCTCGCACAAGCTGCACCACAAGCTGCGCTTGTGTCGCAGGTTGCGCCACATGTACGGAAGCTGTGGGATATGTATGTCCGTTGCTCCTCCTGTCCATACCTGCCTGCCCGCTGCCATGTGTGGTCAAACACTTACGTGGTGACCTGAGTCGGCCGCAGCCCTGCTCGCGGC